CCCCCCCCCCCCGCCCACTGCAGGGCCTGACACCAATCAAGGACGCTTCCGTCAGAGTGCACACGTCCAGAAACTGCAGCCAAAACCCACACTGGATGCACCTGCTGCCCAAGAGGCTGGTCTCGATGTTTCGTGCCCTGGGGACGGGATGCGGACCCTTGAATTTCTGGTTCCCCCCGATGCCTGGCACATGGCAGACACCCAACAAACATTTTTCCCATTAGTAAAAGTGAATAAATGGTAGGTTTTGCCCAACTTGACCAGGCGGTTATCTGTGGCTTTACCTGGCCCACAAAACCACCCCCCATGACCAGACGCCAGGACAGGGCAGTCGGGGAGTGTGGAAGCCTTCTGGAACCATCCCCAGGTGAGGTCACAACCGCACGGGCACCGTTACATCTAAAGCTCCCAAACCGACCGAGAGCCGTAACCGGGCCGGGTGCCTCCTCCTCCCCCAGGGACGGGAATGGCCCTGGCCCTGCAGAGGCCAGGGCACTGAGGCTAGGGGAGGCCGGCGGGGACCCCAGTCCACGCTTACCTGCTTGCCAAGCTCCGAGCCTCTCAGGAAGTCGTCCACCGAGGCGCCCCTCCTCTTGACGTCCGGGGAGCCGTAGCCGTCCTCCTCGTCTGAGTTTACATACAGACTGCCACCCCTCTCCAGGAAGGTGCTCCTTTTCTCTAACTTGGAAGGACAAGGAAAGAAGCGGTCGGGAGGGCTGCAGAGGGGAAGGGGGCCTCCAGGCTCCCACGTCTCCTGGGCTCGGCCCTTCCTTGGCCCAGCCCCCTGTCCCCCTGGGGACCACCACAAGCAGGGGCCTGTGTCAAGTGGCCCAGCGCTGGCCCCTGGGCTTGGGCAGGTTTTCCGGTGCGCTGCCCCCCTCCCTTACCAGAACGACTTCCAGTCTTTGCTGGTAACCTACAGAAACCAACGGAAAGTTCTCTCTCCATGTGTCCCATTTGCCTGGCTCTCTCGATCTGATTAACTAACGTTTTCTTGAAAAACGAGATTCAGACATTTGCTTTCTCTCCATGCCTTCCAAAAAGCGAGCCGGCCAGGGAACCAGCAGCCCCAGTCTCTGGCTCCCGCCTGCTGTCGGGGACCCTCCCTGGGGGTCTCAGAGCTGTGGGATGTGCGGCTGCCGTCCAGGAGAGCAGAGGGGCACCTGTTCACCTGCCAGGCCCTTCCTGCCCACAAAGCCTCGCCCAAAGCACCTGACATTCCGGGCCTGGGCTTCTGCTTTGTGAGACTCAGCACAGGGGCGGGGGGCCCCCTGGTCAGTGTGCGTATTCAGGACCGTTCTCGTCACAAGTCACAAATTAATGCTGAACTCTTTTTTTAAGTATTCCAGGCCCATACTGAATCAACTAGGAGATGTCACATAAAAGCCTGGATTTGTGGTGTTTCAGGCGACACTGAAGGCTGTCACTGAACCCCTCATCCCTCCTGGCTGTTCTGAATGTCCCTGTGTCTCTCAGCTCTGACCTTCAGGGTCTGCACCCTTCCGGAGGTGCCCTGACCTGGTCCCCAGCCCGGAGGCAGGCTGGCCAGCCCTGGGGACATCCCGGAAGTGGGGGCTCCCCAGCACTGGCACAGATCTCTCCATCCGGCAGCTCAGAGAGGGCGCCATCAGGGGTCAGGCTCCTGGAGACTGGACAGGCTGGACAGGCAGAGTGGAGGGGGACACTGACCACCATGGTCCCTGTGCCAGAGCCCTGACCACAGGCCGCAGCAGACATGCTGGGCACCCGAGGAAGGGATGGGGTTCTGTCCCTGGCAGGGAGGGGGGCATGGCTCCCAGCCGGGCCGAGGGACAGTGGGACCAGGGAGACGACACCCAGCCTTACCCGGCTGCTCTCGGCCACTCTCTGTGCAGCTTCCCGGGCCATGGCCTTGGCGACGGAGGTGGAGACCGGGGTGCCCTGCGGCTGCGGCAGGATCCGGCTGGGCGAGGGCGACCGCCGCCCCGGGCCCGAGCCCTGCATGCTGGGTGGCTCCAGCATGTGCCCATGGGCGGGGGCCGGTGCCCGGCTCTGCTCCCAGGCCTCGTCCACCATGATGTGGGGACCCGGGTGTTCCTCTTTGGTATCAGGGGCTCCGGCACTTGCTAATGGCTTCGGTGTGGGAGCAGTTCTCGGGTGGGGGGTTGGAGGCACCAGGAGGTCGGGGGGAATGGCAGCGAAGGCAGAGTCCACGGACTCGCCCTGTGCAGAGAGGGTCCGCACGGTCACGGCCTTGGCTTCCAGGCTCCGCAGCCGCACCAGCTCCACGGCCGCGCTGTCCGCCACGGGGGAGATGACCTCAGCCACCTGTGCACAGAGAGTGCCGGTCACAGGCTGCCCGCGTCCCCCCAGCTTGTCCCCCTGCACCCTGACCAGCGCGAGACAGCCTCTCGTGCCCAGGGACTGGGGCCCATCTGTGCCCAGCTAGACGCACTGCCCGGCCTGGAGACCAAATGGGCCTTAGAGAGGGAACCAGGCAGGAGTCAGGCTCCTGGACTGGGGGCTGGGGACTTCTACAAACCCTGCACCTGCCAGCTGTTGGAGGTTTCCAAGGCACAAACTAGGGCCACACTTTTTCCTTCCGTGTCCGGCACCAATTCAGGTACAGATGCAGGGGCCCCAGAGGCATGAGAACATTCAGTGTAAACCAGGAAAGCTGGGTTGGGGGAGGGGGCCAGGCAAAGGCCACAATGGACCTCCTGCTGCCTGAGAGGGAGGAGGCTCCTCTTCTGCACAAAGCCTGCCTGTGGGCTGCCCCACAGAAGTGGAGCAGAAGGGGGTCCTGGAGAAGGAGGGGAAGGAAGGGAGCAGAGGAGGTCCTGAGGGAGGAGGAGGGACAGAGGGGAAGAGTGAGGAACACAGGGGAGTCCTGGGGAGGAGGAGCAGAGAGGAGGAGGGAGTAAGGGGAGGAGCAGAGGTGAGTCCT